TTGTATGAGCAGCGGAACGCGCGCGGCAGGCGTTGTTAATTTTGATTACCGTTGATACGGCTGACGGCGCACAGAGCTGAAGGGCACAAGCAAGGAAGCTTGGAGTGATTCTGTGTCAATGTGATTTGACGTCGCTTCTTTCTGTTTCTTCAATCATGGTGCAAATGCAGGTGCCCGACTCCCGAACGATTCGAAGGCAAGAGTGGTAGCCCGCCTATCCGCTGGTCTTTCAATCGCATGCCCTGTCGTCATTTTGGGCACAGCGGAAGAAAATAAGACGCTCACTATTTTAAATAGCGTGCGATCGGCCTGTCTAGGTTTTGGCGACACCGTTTCAGGCTGTAGATGAGAAAATTTAGCCACTACAGTACGACTGCTAGCCTGGGGTCTGTGCCTCACAACAGATCGAATCTGGTGGGGGTGGGGATCCCTGGCAGTGGGACCTTTCGCCGTACGAGTTGCGGTGCGCTAACACGCTCGACCTCCGATACCCCCTTGGGTCGCAGCGCTTGCTGAAAGAAGTTTTGGATCGTTTTACGCAGATTTTGCAGTGCGTACGAGACGCACAACAGCTACGTACTACGTCCTAGATGCCCAAACTGAGGCTCGCTACTTGTGCGCGGCTCTCGTGATCTGGGGAACAGCCATGAAAATGTTGCATTGAGAAGTACGAAAAAGTAATATTATAAAAATAGAGTATTTAAAACTGGCTTGCATTGTCACTGAACATATGAAAATAAAACTGATTAGGAATGCCGATCAGATCGAGTGGAAATGTGATATTGTGCTCAAGTTATGTGTGAAGTTGCGTCGGCACAGGAATTCAAACTTGTTGGCCCCACCCCCGCTCCTAAACTCTTCCAATGTTGCTGGCAGTTTTTTTTTTTTTATTATTATTATTATTATCATTCTTATTGTAACTTCAAAGGTCCCAACAGGGGCATTACATAAGGAGCGGGGGGGGGGCGGGGGGGGGGGGGGGGAAGTACATGAAAAATACAAAACATCAACATATAAACAGACAGGTGGCTTACACCGACAGGGCTGGTGAGTAATATAAACAGTGAGAACAAGTGTGTGTGAAATAAAACTGGTACATAAATACACTAGCTAAAAGAGTAATCGAAGCATTGCGGAACAAGACAGGGTCGCCTATTGCCGGGCAGAACCAGGGTAATCACCGACTCGCACCAAGCATTCCGGAGCTTCCAGTCGGGCTCGGTGTCCTGAAAAGCCTTCAGGTGCTCAAAAACAATAGACCCCCAAAGGAGCCCATAGAATTTGAATGGGTACCTGCCCACTCCGTGGTAGAGGGCAATAAACTTGCTCACCAGCTAGCAGGCCTGCGCGCTGACTTACCGGGCCACAGCCATGGAAGAGGTGCAGGACCAACCCATGGTGACCTAAAAGGAAATAGTAGTTGCACTCTACTGCAAGGAAAGGCGAAGACTGCCAGCCCCGCATCCTAAGTTAACGCTGGAGGAACAGGTAGCGTATAGGCAAAGTCAGTCAGGGTCCTTCCCCCACCCCCTTTTACTCAGTCGCATATGTTCCCCACTCAATACAGTGGGAACTGCCCAGTGTGCCAAGAGATAGGAACCCTCCGTCACAAAATAGGCGAGTGTAGATTCAATCAAGACCACCCACTACCCCCACCCTTCCCCCTGTAGAGTGATGAACTTGCTGTCCAGCCCTGCCCTGGAGAATCAGCTTCAATTGGTCAACACGGGCCAGGCAGACAAGGCAGCATATAGGACCTCGTGAAGAGGGAAGCCCTTCCATCCGGCACAGACCACCGTGTTGAAATGCTCAGAATAAAAGTTTATTTTCTCTCCCTCTCTGATTGGTTGAAGTAGTTTGTGATCCGAGATATATGTGATATGGGGGGGTGGTTTAGTCGTGACGATGCTCTTCTAGGAGGAAGTAGGAGTGAGTTATGAAGCATTGGATTATAATAGAAAATTTTATGAAATGGGGGTTAAGCCTGACATCTTATGGCGCGACTTATACAGCTGGAATTTCAGTGCAGAGACATTAGTTCTTCAGTAATGATCATTAAGAATCAACCTGGCTGTGCGATTTTGAACTGACTCAAGATGGTTAAAGGGATAAATTTGATGAGCATTCCGAATTGCTGCTGCATATTCTAACTTTGGTCCAACGTAAGTCTCATATGCCATTTTCTGGAGATGAGATGGTGGCACCTTCAGATTTCTTTTGATGTACCCGAGAGTGCGCAAAGCCTCTGCTGAGTCTGTTTCAATGTGTTGCACCAAGATATTTATAGATGGAGGCAGGCAGAGATGATTAGTCTAGAGCCAATGGAATACGAAAAATATGGTGTTACATGTTTCCAAGTAAAGCGAAGTACTTTACATTTTGGCATGTTTAATGACATAAGTCATTTGAAATACCAGGCATGAATCAGGTCAAGGTCACTCGGAAGATTCAAATGGTCATCAGACAAAGTAATTTTGCGATATAGGACACAATCATAAGCAAAGAGACAAAGCCTACAATTGATAAGTCTTTAATAAGAATAAGAAACAGTAGTGAACCTAGTGATGCCCCCTGTGGAACCCTACATATAACGTTAGTAAAATCTGATATATGGTTGTTAGCCAGAGTGTGAGAAAAGAGGAAGCCACGAATCCAAGAAAGGACCAAAGGGTCGATACCCAGGATGGAAAGTTTTGAAATTAGATGACGATGGGGAACTCTGTCAAATGCCTTCGAGAGGTCGAGGAATACAGCACCTGTTTGGCCCTGCGAGTCAAGGTTAGTGACTAACTTGTGTTTGAGTTCAAACAGTTGCGTCTCGCATGAAAAACCCCTACGAAATTCATGTTGATGATTGTAAAAAATATGATTGGCTTCTAAATATGATATGGAATGATAGTTTGAGGCCAGCACACGATCACCGCTTTTAAAGACCGGGATGACCTTCCCCAGCTTCCAGTCCAATGGTATACGCCGTTCCACCTTCAGTCCGAGCACACTGGATGCCACGAGCTATCCCAGCCGATCCAGCTTCGGGAGAAAGTCGTGTGACCTTTCAGTTGGCCAGAGCGACGCAGGGAGCTCAAGGTCACATGACACTCTCTCAACGCTGGATTGGCTGGGATAGCTCCTAGCGTCCGCTGCGCTCGGACTGAAGGTGAAACGGAGTATAGGCAATACTGCTGTAATGACTAAGAAAATATGAATGTGAGGAATTCACTAGATATTACTTCGGTGTTGCTAAGAATTTTGGGGCTAATATTGTCTGGACTACAAGATGATGAGAGTTTTAAACCTATAGGTCAAAGTATTCTGGAAGCAGAAATGTTAGTGTCAATGGGGGCCATGGGCTCAAAACCAGAGCAAGGCAAACTATATAGGTATATAATCAACGCTTTCGTTTGATAGTATGAAAGAGAAATATTTGTTTAAAGCTGTAGCGCAATGTGGCTCAGACACGGCATCTACATTTTCATTCTTTAGTCGGATAGAGTCAGTAGTATCTCTGGGTGAAAATACCTTCCAGAACTTCTGGGGGTTACTTTGCAGAATTCTTGGCAGGCCCAAAGAAAATAACTTTTTTTTCGTCAACCTTACGCTCTGTGCAAGATTTGAGATTTGAAAAATATTTGCCACGGACTTTGTTATTATTTGCTTTCTTAGCTCTTCTATACATGCGCTTCTTTTTGTTATTTATAATGATTGCAAAGTTTTATATTGTACCAGGGGTTATGCCCGTCGCTGTGTACAATAACATTCGGAACAAATTGTTCAGTTAAAATATTAAGTTTGTTTTTAAATAGTGACCAGTTTTCTTCCACCGATCTTGAACGAAGGTTTCCGACATACGACTGATAGAACGATGACACGTTCCGATTTATGGTGACGTAGTAATCACCTTTGTTATAGCTCACGAATTGTTTGAACAGTTGGGCTCAGCGTCGGCACAGGGATAGATAACTCGATGATAAAGATGCCGTGGTCACTTAAGCCAGCAACACAGTTGACAGTTTTTATTATTTCTGGTGTGCTTGTATAAGGGTAAGGTCAAGAATATTGTCGCCACAGGTGGGTTGTTCAACAACTATCGGACGTACGGACGACATGACAATATCGGACGTACGGACGACATCAGTGACCGGCCGATTATGGAAGATTGGCGATCACTCGCCGGTCGATCAAGGCGAGTCATCACAACCGCTACACGTGGACAAGATCTACTACGCATATGCTGGGAGCACGGTGACGTCACACAACCATCAAGATTCCAGCCAGCTGCTGCATATAAAAGCAACGCCCGTGCCTGCAGACTTCAGTGGACACGGCAACCACGCCGTGGCTATGCCTAACCTACTTCCTACAATCACGCAGGTTGGTGATCGTAAATATGGATTTCGTAGTGACCATCTATGTATTTTAGTGTTGCCGTGTCCACAAATACTCCTGCAATGTGCAAGTGATTGTCTGTCAATGGCAAGTCTGTTGCTGAAGCTATCGGGAGATGTCGAGGAAAACCCCGGTCCAGTCACAGATGAGATACTGGCGCAAATACTTCAGACTCAAAATGACATCCTAAAAAGAATTACCGAAATCCAAGAAAAACAAAATTCCTCAGAAGCCAACTGCTTAATTGTGCAGAACAGGCTGTCGGAGATTGAGAAAAAACTGGAGTGCGTGGACGAAACCAGTAACAGACTTGCCAGGTTGGAAAGTGCTTTCACCGGTCGGGATGATGAAATGTATAATCTCTCTAGACAAGTCGACGACCTAGAAAATCGGGGGCTGCCCAATAAGGCACTGTTTGCTGCCACCCGGTGGTAGCAACGACTTCCGGGTAGACCCGCTTGCTGCCACGGACCAATCGGATGGCTACACACCACGTGACCGTGCTAACATACTAGGTAATTAGATTTTATATTTATTTTATTTGGTATATACAAGATATATTATGTTATAATTGCCTTATAACGATATAACTTATGTTATAATTATTTGTGACGTCACAACTTGCTTTGTTTGTGAATTCTTTCTGGCCGTTCCCGCCGTTTTCCGATTTGCTGTCGGCTGGTACCTGAGCAGGCGTGCGTTTGTGTACGGCACAGGATCTTCGGCAAGCTTCGGATATCGCCCTGAAATAATCGCGAATCGGCATTCTCGATTGTTGATTGGTTTTTTGTAGAGTGTTATTGAGGGTTCCAGATAGTTATTTTCACTTGACATCTCTTGGTTTAGTTGTAATTGGTGCTGGTTGTGTTGGTGTGCGGGTCCCGAACTAGGCATGCCACGTGTGTTGGTAGCCGGTGATTCGATGTTGAAAGACCAAGCGCGGTCTTTCACACTGAATCCTGGCGTGGCTGTCGAGGTCAGGTCCTTTAGTGGTGTCAGGATTGAGCGGTTGTTCTCCATGATCGCTGACAGTCTGCCTGGCTTTGATGCGGTGGTCGTGCATGTTGGCACTAACAACGTCGGGGATAGTGACATCACGCGCGTCGCCAAATTTCGTCAGCTGGTGTCGCGCATCATGGAGAAAAACCCCGAGATCCAGGTCGCGTTCTCGGCCATCCTTCCGAGGGAGGTGAGCCTTCGGAAGAATGATCGGTGGGCGGTCAGTGCCGAAGTGCTGCAAGAACACAATGATGAGGCCAGGAGAACGAATCTCATCTTGCAGGAACTCTGCCGCAAGGAGGGATACGGCTTCATCGACGGAAGCAGGCAGTCGTGGAGTGGGCTGCTCATGCTGGATGGTGTCCACTTCAACAAGAAAGGCAGCAGGGTAGGTTTGATCTGCGTATTTGAGCCATAGCATGAATTTAGAACAATAAATTAGAATCAACATGTATGCAAATAACGCTAAAAGGTTGCTGGGCCTTAGATTTTCGTGGTGTCGCGTTTTCCCCTAAAGTTTCCATATCTTTGCAGGTGTTTGGACGCATCCTTCGAGGCGGCCTTCATGGTGTTGTGGCAGGCCACGGGCAGGAGGCTGAGGACCAGGAGTGGAGTCGCCATGCAGCAGAGGAGGAACACCAGGAGCTGCGTCGTGAGTATGGGGACCAGGCCAAGGAGCTTGCAGAGTTCTGGAACGGTAAGTATAACTTCCCTTCCCTTAGTTCTAGTGTCGGAGGAGGCCCAGCCTGTGTGGGTGAAGAACAGGTGCAGGGCATGTGCACTGTGACAACCACCGACACATGCACCACCAGCTGGGCCGCTGTTGTGCAGAGGCCGCCGAAACGTGTGTCACGTGGCCGTGGCGGCGTTGACGGCGTTGACAACACTGTCAGAAGTAGGGGCTGTGTGCCGCGCACACAGTCTTCACAGAACACCGAGCCCTCTCGGGGTGCCCCAGCCGCCAGCGGTCATGCCACTCGAGAGCAGAGGCTGAGAGGAGTAAAGCCCTCTAGGATGCCAATGATGCTTTCTGATGGCTGTGCTCCTGCGCTTGCCGGGGGAGTGTGGGTGCACCGGAAGGCTGGCAGATCTGTTGCTGCCTGTGGTGCCTCGGTGCGTCCCTCCTCTCCTGTGGCGCAGTGCATCGACCCCCATGAGGGTGTACTGGCCACGGCCTGTCGCACCACTCGAAAGCAGAGGCGGAGAGGAACGAAGTCCTCAGGGATGCCAATGACGCAAACAGGCGGTCGTGCTCCTGCGCTTGTCGGGGGAGTGTGGGTGCACCAGAAGGCTGGCACATCTGTTGCTGCCTGTGGTGCCTCGGTGCGTCCCTCCTCTCCTGTGGCGCAGTGCATCGACCCCCGTGAGGGTGTACCGGCCACGGCCTGTCGCACCACTCGAAAGCAGAGGCGGAGAGGAACAAAGTCCTCAGGGATGCCAATGACGCAATCAGGCGGTCGTGCTCCAGCGCTTGTTGGTAGAGTGTGGGTGCACCAGAAGGCTGGCACATCTGTTGCTGCCTGTGGTGCCTCGGTGCGTCCCTCCTCTCCTGTGGCGCAGTGCATTGACCCTTGTGAGGGTGTACCGGCTACGGCCTGTCGCACCACTCGAAAGCAGAGGCGGAGAGGAACAAAGTCCTCTGGGATGCCGATGACGCAAAGGGGTGGCTGTGCTCCTGCGCTTGTCGGGGGAGCTCGGCACTCTTGGATGGCGCATACATGTGGTGCTGCCTTTGAGTGTTCGTCTCTTTTAGAGGACTCGGTTTCTTCTTCTGGCAGAAATAAAGGGTGTTCTAGTGAGATAGTGGGTCAGATGCCTCTAAGATGCATTTCTTGTAATGTACCAACAGTGCATGGTCAGGCTGGTGCAGATGCTCCTGTCAGTGGTGCAGATAGGGTGCCTTGCACACCCTTTGGGTTAGGCAAATTAGCTGGAGGGGGCACTCTGGGTCTAGGCGTCACATTCAGTGACTATAGCGAGTTTGAATCTAGCTATAAGCAGTGGCTAGCTGCCAAATTCACTCCCATGAGAATTGGTCACTCTGAAAAAAATTTGTCTAGTTGCACAAGCCCTACATCTAAGGACCCCTTCCCTTATAGGCGTATCACTTTTGAGTGCTGCCGTGCTGGGAAGTCTCGATCTAGAGGAAACGGCATCCGAAACAAGCAGAGGTATCTTGCGACAGGATGCCTATGCAAGGTGTCAGTTTCTTTAATTGTGGAACCGATGCCTCATTATAAAGTTCACAGCATGGTAGAGGGCCACAACCATCCCGAAGGGCCAGGGTTCGAAATGTGGTATCCGCAGAACAGGCTTCTAAACAAGGCTGAAAAGAAAGAATTTGAAGACGTCCTTTCATGCAATGTTAAACCAAAGGATTTGAAAGAGTTGGTATTTAAAAAGACTGGAAAGCATATTACATCGCAAGACGTTAGGAATGTAAAGCATGAAAATGTGAGGAAAATCGAGAATAGTCTGCATCATGGTTCTCTCTTGTTAAAGCAAATGGAAGATTTAGTTAAAAAATGTCCTGGTTGGATTGTACACATTGAAAAGGATTCTAGCAATCAGCTTTTGTTTGTATTATTTCAGTCTAACTTAATGAGGCAGTTCACAGAAAATTATTCAGAGGTATTATTTTTCGATGGCACTTACAAGGTTAATATTGAAGGTTATATTCTACATTCAGTACTCTGCGAGGACAGCACAAGCCATGGGAGACCGATCTGTTACATGTTTGTGCAGCGGGAGACTAAAGAAATTCTTCAAGCAGCTATAGCGAAGTTCCTCGATTTAAATCCTGCTGTGGTGTCGAATTGTAATGTAGCGGTGATGGATAAGGACCTTAATGAAATGAATATTCTTGCACAGCTGCTACCAAATTGTAGAATTTTGCTATGCTCTTGGCATGTGGTAAAGTATCTGCACCAAAGAGTTTCGCAACTTTGTTCTAGCAGAGTCGACAAGCAAGCCGTTAAGTCTCTCATATCAAAGCTAGTTTTCTCTTATGATGACAATACTTACCAGGAACTCTTGGAAGAGCTTGAAAATGAAATGCAAAAGGAGCTTGAAAGTGAAAAGCAAAAAAAGTCCAGCTTTCTTGAGTTTTATTATAAAAATTGGCACGACTGTAGGGAGATGTGGGTGCATGCATACCGTCGTAACATCTATACCTTTGGGAATAACACTAACAACAGAATGGAAAGCCACAATCAAAAGATAAAGCAGTTTATGCACCAGCGTATGCATTTAGTTGATGCTGTCAAAGCCTTGGTTCAATATGTAAACCATGATACTTTATCTGTTAGCTTTGCACAATTCCAAGAAACCATGCTGTGCCTTGACACACGAAAAATTGATGCATTTCATATTCAGGTATCTACCAACTGTACAGGATATGCTAGCAACTTAATTTATAAGGAGTATGAATCTTACTTAAATGGAAATCTTGCATATTGTATGAATAATGGACAGCATACAGTCAATAGTAAAAGTAATTGTTACATTGTTTCACAGGATTTAACTGCCTGTACATGCACATTCCAAAATCAGTTCCGGCTTCCTTGTAGACATATCTTTGCTGTTAGATCTAATCTTTCAGTGGATCTTTTCGATGTCAAATGTGTTGCATTTCGGTGGTTAAAGTCTGGCTTTGTTGAAACTGATGTAGATACTGCACAGGCAGTAGCGCAAAAAATTAGTTTGAATGTATCAACTAAAGGAAATCCCAAACTGGACACGACGGAATCAAAGTATAATTACGCTTTAAGTGAGCTCTCGGAATCGTGCAAAAGCATAGCAAACACTTTGGCATGCTGTGGTAAATCTGAGCTGCTGGAAAAGTTATCTGAAATAAAGAGTTTTTTTAATAACCTGATAACCTATCCTAGGAATAAGACTTCCAAAACAGTATTCAATCAAGATGAACAGCAGGATTTGAAGCAGGCTCATTGCAAGGATGAAGATGAGCTAAATGAAGAAGGGTCATTTGGTAGTGAGGATGGCATTGTAGAGAGCCCTGCTAGTATTCCAAGCATTAAAAGGGAGGAAATTTGCAATTCGAGCACTGTTGAGCGTACGCAATTAAAGCAGCATTTTGTGGACCACAATTATTGCAAAAGTTTAGACATGAATACAAACTCTTCAGACATAATTACTCTGTCTCCAGAACCGGAATTTCATAATGAAAGAAAACGTGCTGAAGTTTCACATACTGTTGTAGATCTGACCTGTGACGAAGTATTGGATAAAGACGTATTGATCGTTCCATTGAATAAGTCTCCTCGTGGTAGGCCCAGTAAAAGAAAGAGGACATCTAAAGTGCAGGCATTGCCAATCATGAAGTCTGGTAAAAGTAGCACTAATTGTAACATCAGCGACCGCAGCATGCTTCGTTTAGAGCGTGCAGCACGTTATATTACGCAGCATGATTTATTGTGTGTGCAAGGCATTGAATGGTTAAATGATAATGTGATCAATGAGGCACAATCACTTATTCATACACAGTTTAACCATGTTGGGGGGCTACAGGATGTTCTTCTTGGCCCAAGATTGTTGTTTAAAAAGCAAGATAAATTTGTCCAGATCCTTCATATTCCAGATCATGAACATTGGGTGACTATTACAAATTATGGGGCCCCAAACAATTCAGTATTTTTATTTGACTCCCTCTTCGAAGAAATATCAAACAATTTGGTTTCTCAGGTCTTAAATATCATGGGATTAGATTTACATCAGCTCATTGTTTATGTTATGCCTACGCAGCGCCAGATGAACACATATGATTGTGGGGTGTATTCTATAGCCAATGCATATTGCATTGCATCTGGACAGGATCCATGTTCTCAAAATTTTGACCAGAGTTCTATGCGAGGCCACTTATTACGATGTCTTTATGATGGTGAAATTTTACACTTCCCTATTACAACTTCACATGTGCCTAGAATGAAGCATAGAAAAATTTGTTATGCTGACAGGACATTATTGCTAGATACGAGTGGACATATGTAATAGAAGCTGCATTTTTTTAAATACCAAGTGTAACAAAAAGGTGTGGCTTTAAATGTTTGATTTACCAGTCACAACCACCTAATGTTTGTTCCTTCAGAAATGAAAATCTTAAGTTAATGCTCATGATAACGATAAATATAAAATAATTTCCCTTTAATATAAAGAATATTTAGCTTTAAATTTAGCCGCAGCCAATGATGAAGGGTTGCCTGAGCCTCTACTTCTGTGTGAGCCATAGGTCCCAATCTGAGGCTTTACCTTTAAATTATTTTATTAATTTGCAAGAACCTGCATGGATTATCTGCAGGTATAGCCTAAATTTATTAAGCACAAAGCTCTGTGAACATATACTAAACTTTTATACATAAAACGGGTAGGTTCTGCTTTTGTTACTGTACTCTTGTTATTAATTGTGCCAGTCGGGTCTTTAGCTTTATTGATACTACAGTGTGAGTCAAAGGGATCAACGGCTGATTGACGGAATTGCAAATATTGGTTTCTGAATGTATTGTGCTAAGGTCCTTCACAGAAATGCTAAGCAATGTGCATTAAAGGTATAGAAGTTCCATTGATCAAACTACCTAAGTAAAAAATTAGGATGGAAAAACTTGAAATCACTACCCACGGCGGCGTCTTAATGGCGAAAAAGCCAAAAGATGTTGGCAGTGCTCTCTGCGTTGATAGGTGGGGATCAGCAGCGAAGACACAACGAATACTATTTCAGCATCAGCTTCGGTGATGACACTGCTGTTGTCAGTGGCTTGTTTTTGAGGTTTCCCTCATTGAGGCGCACCTCACCCAGCGTAGAATTGTAGAGGAGTCTGGATGTAGCCGCCGAAACTCCACCCAAAAAAGTCAGTGGACCTATTTTGTTCTCTTACACTCTCCAGAACAGAGCAACCTTCACTCACTCGTTGGGAGCTAAGTGCACCCCAAAACAGCACGGATGAAAGTTGTAGACAAGAAAAGTGATGCGGTAACAACCAGAGAGTGCAAAGTAGACAGCGACATGTAGCCGAAAATAATTGCAGAAAGAAAATGAGACAACACAACTGTTTTGTTTGTGTTTTATCTTGAATTTTTTGTTTTATTGGTAGAATAAAACACTCATGCACTGACAATTCGTGCAAAAATAAAAAAAAAGATTGCATCGCCTTTAGTTTAGAATTGTCATCCGCTATTGCACCCCTCCAGATGCCCATGTGTCAAGTTATTGTCTGCAACCGCAGCACGATTCAAGCGTACCGCCTGTAGGCTCTCTAACCGTCTGTGATTTTACGTGCCTCCATCTGTCGGTTGCACCAGACACCTTTTTTTTTTATAGCAGACAGCTGTCGAAGGTAGGGATTTCAAGATTTTGGTCTCTAACTCTTTACTCAGGTAAGTTTAATAAGTAAGACTTTTATACCCTTGATCAACGCTCTTCAGCCACCCCTCTAAAACATTTAAGTGCAATACATTCACGAACCAATTTATGCAATCGCTTCAAACGGTCATCGATTCCTTTGACTCGCCCTGTAGATACTAATTGCACTAATCAAAATGTGTTACGCGAATGTTTAACAGCTATCTTCAATTATTTCAATGTATAGAGCTCAGCAGAAGTCCTCCAGCTGGTTAAGCAGAAGGTATAATCGAACTTCAAAAAATATTTCATACGCTCGAAAACAGCCCGTCGAGAATTGGCCGGTTTTAATCATGCTCACTCTCTTTTACATGGTCACATGGCATTCAAACTGTGTACTAAATTCAAAGTCATGGGTCATCATTCAATATTAAAAATAGAAAGTAGCATGAACCCCATTTTTGTGGCCTCCAAATATGTACATTGAAAGAAAAAAAATGTTGCACAGGTCAGAGGAAGCACATGTACACATCATTCTGAACATGGCGACGTACCGCGGGCTAGACAAAACGATGGCGGCGCACGACGAACGTGGGGCCGCTACTTCGCAACTGTTGTTCATAGTACCGGCCAATTGATCTTCAAGCACAGAGCATCGAGCAGAAGAGATATAAGTGTGAAACAACCGCACGGGCAAACAGTGCACCCAACTTAGTCGTTGTCTGCTTCGCTTGCTGAAGAAGAAAAAGAAGTGCAGTTGGGTGTCGCGATGTGGCTTCTGATATCTCTCTCCTCCTCTACCTTGCTTCCTCCTCCTCGGTACAGATTGTCCACATGTCTCGGTCATGAGCTTCTGTGCTCATGTTTTGGTTTCAAGCAGTGGAGTTTTTTTGGCCTTGTTAAATATATATGTGACTGTAGCAAAATATTGATTTGGGTAGTCTCCTGACATCATATTAAATCGCCTGGCAAAAAATTAAGAAAAGCCTTTGTGTGTGTGTGGGGGGGGGGGGGGGGGAGGGGGTTAGTGTTTCTTTAACCACAATTTCTATAAACTTCCCAACGTTATGGGACCGACTTGGCTTCTATTAGTATGTGACTAAAAGAAGCCGAATGGTTGCAGCTTTTCTTTGTTTTTCTTTTGATTTTTTTTTTCTTTTTAACCTAGGCATATCAAACAGACAAGAAAGAGCTTGAAGAGATTTATAAGAATTCTCAAGCAGCTACTTCCATGGGCTATGGTAGTAAAAGGAAAATGAATATAGATGCAACCATTTGGGCTGTTTAGTGACTCGTGACCAAGGAGCAAGTCTATCCTGAAACATTAAGAAGTTCACAGGAATCGTGTTTGCGGTTCCTAATTTGTGTCATATATTTGACTCGGGTCGGTAAACAAGGTTGTGGCATAAACACAGCCAAGCATGATTGATGCTATAAATAGTTAAAAAAATATGATGCAAGAAAAATTGGAGGGCTACAGCGGTTTGACTGGTTGGTATCCGGGCTGGCTGATTGTCACAATAGGATTGTGCGAGTTTTCAGAACTTCTGATTGTGACATCAAATAACATACAATTCGATCTGATTTCGTATCAAACACTGAGTACTTGGAAGTTCTGCAATAATTCACATGTTTGTGTTCTGTTCTCGCTGGTTAGTGTCCTATAGAGCGCTTCTCGCTGTACACTGGTGTACTGTGGTGGAGCAAATGCCACGAAGCAGGCATTGCGATTTTGCGTGTCCTGCTTTGTTGCAGCACACCTGCATGCTAAGGGGAAAGCATTCCTCTAGAGCAAGACGTGACAATTTTCTAATGAAACTTCGGCTTGCATATATGGTAGACGGACTCTGATATTCTGACGATATCTTTTTCCATTCCTAGATTTAGCAAGGATGCTCCAAAATTGCAGAAATATTTATATGGACTTTTTAGGTTCATGTTTTATGCCAACTTTTTTTGTCTAGTTGTCACTTTTATATATGTGCGAGTAAATTGTAACTCAATTAGCTGAAGTAGTGGATGCAAGCTTGGGAAGAACCTTAAAGGAGTTTAAAATGTAATTTACGTTTGTGGGCAACCTAAGGATCCAAGTCATTCGACCAGGTGGCCTGCGTGCCAAATGGTCCACAATCATTTCCACCACAGGGGAGTCAAGTACAATTGGCCACGCGAGCGGCGCTCCGCCGCTAATAAACAGCTGTTGCAGCGGATGTGTGGGAATCTTGGGATCGCAGCGCGGGCGATGACAGTGAATAAATGATTACAGGTTGTTGAACCAGTGCATTGTGTCATTCTCCGAGATAGGTAGTACCAAGTGGATTCCCACGCATTTAGTAATCAAATGACGAATGCTTTTTTTTAATGTAGAACTGCAGTTTTATTACAGCCTCTAAAACTTAGAGGAAACAGATTTAGGTACTCAAAATTATTGTATTTTAACATTATTTCACTGGATGAAAACGAAGTGGGCGCTCATGCCCCAAAAGTTATCTTAGCTGCTTCAAGAGCTGTTCCAAAACGACTCAGACCAATCACATGACTTGTCTTCTGAATGTTTGCTTCTGGTGCATATCAAGACGCATGTCTTAAAGGTAACTACTGAATAGTTTCAGTAAATAAATTTTTAATTTATTAATTAGCTTAACGAGGTGAGTTCTATCCTATAGCAGCAAGCAGATGATGAAACTTTTTCTGCCATTTCATTTGTTCTTGTTTAGGTAAGCAAGAATGCTTCGCGATCCGGAATGTTACATTGCTTCACTCCTGTGCATCGTGTTTTTTGAAACCGACGAATCAGAGTCACTCACTCCTTAACCCTGGAGCCGCTGCTGAATGTGCCTATTGCCTCCTGGGACTTTAACAAGGTAAGCGGGCTTGTCTCATGCACTGCAAATCAGTTTTTACAGGTTGGAGATGGCCAAACAGCAGGATCCCTCAACATTGGCTTTTGTGACCTTCTGTGGTAAAGACACATCACCAAGTGCATCCTGCCAAGAGTGCAGAAGCTGAGTTTCAACTTAAAATTAATTGCAAAGGAAATGAAGGAAAAGGCTAAATATGCAATTAACAAAGTATAAGTCGAGATTTTCTAACAATATTTTTATTTGTAACCATAATTGGAAATTTTGTAAAGCCTAGCCTCATTTTTACAACATATAATTTAAATTATTTTACAATTGTTTGATGTGTATTGATGAAGCATATAAATAAAATTGCATTTCAAATTGGTACATGTGTCTTTGTGTCATCAATCTAATTTACTGAAACAATACCAGCTGAAATGCTTTTGACAGTTTCATAACTGTGACCTATGTTTAGTTTCTTCATTGAATAATTTTTACAAGGCAAATTGTTCGATTTTTTATTTGTGCCGTGGTAGGATTATTTTTGCTCTGGGTAGTAAAATGTTATTTAACATTAAACAACCAAGATCTAGCAGATGTGTGTGCAAAAGCTCGCAGGTCTTCGTCTGGAAGGCAGGCTTCTCCCACCGTTCACAGGTGTATTGCAGGGAAGTGTTGTTGGAACTTGAAAAATACTATTGGCCTGGCTGCTGGCCATAATTTTTTTTTTGTTTTATTAACAATGTGTTTCTTTTTGGTTCAACATGGACACTAAGCTCTGTTGCAACTTAAAGACAGTGGAGGAGGCCGCCCCTGCCAGCCACAATTAATACTTCTCCAGCGTCTGCTTTGCTAGGGAAAGAGGAGTGATCTGTAGGAGGGGGTCTTACTAGTCTTGTAAAAGGGTATGTGTGCTGCAATTGCTTTCATGCAGCATGACACTTCATTGGGGGGAAGAAGGCAAAGCTAACAATTGACGGGCACTGCAAATAGATGTGATGCATTTGATGAGTGCATCTTCCATTGGAACTGGAGAGCTTTCTAAGTGCTGGTTTTCACCGCCATGTGCAGGGCATTGCCAACACTTGACTCCTCAAAACATTAAGAATTTTTCAAGTATTGCCATTTCATCATGCGAACAGCACTTTTATTACAGTCTTATTTTAGTTGTAGAATACAGCTAAACTGCTGACCCACTTCCTGTAATATAAAGGCCCCATTGCCTTTTGGATGAGTACATGGGTTTTTGTTGCTACTATCCTTACTCCATAGCAGAAGCAGAGATGCCTGCAAGGCACAGTGATGCCCACTCTCCCACAGAGGGTATGGTGCTAGACTCCCTCTGTATGAATAACATCTGATTTTGAATGTGTCTCCATGTGTTTTTGTGCCACCAGGGAAAAGTGGCAAAGTTCAATTTATAGGTGGAGTGTCCACAGTTTTCACAGGAAACGCTTGTGTGAGGTTCATTGGAGCAGCACTGACTTGTTCAACCTGATCCAACCTTGCTTTACAGGTTTCTATTTGTCTCTTGAATTTATTGGAATTTGCATATAAATAATGTGCAGATTATAAATTTGTTGATTGTTTCAAGAGTGTCATGTGAGCTTCTTTTAAACGCTAGTGGGAAAGGCGTACACGGATGCAATCATGTGAAGCTTGTGTGAATATGAAACGTAAATCTTGAGTATGTAGCAATTAAAATTCAAGAACTCCTATTCTCCTAACTTCTAGGTTAAAATTGTAAGTAACCAGAAATATTCCTTTAGATGCATACCTTAAATGCTTAGTGGAGATTCTTCCATATTCTTAATACGGTATGAGCAAGACCTAAAATAAACTCGTGTAATAATTTTTTTTGAAAAGCAAACGAAATATTTGTGAATTGTATCTCAATTATATGCTGACGCAAACCAAGCTTAAAGGAAAAGTGGAGTGCTCTATGCTCATGAAACGAACGACCCCCCCCCCCCCCCCCTCCATTGTCAGCAAACCTCTTGCTAAATGTCCGTATTTTATATATTGACGTTAAAAAAAAGTTTGATATTGCAACACGTTAGCCTTTTAGTGGCAATTTCTCTCGCAGTTCCTAAAATGACCGCTCTCAGAAGTGCTTTGTCACATGGCACTCTTTTTTTTTTACTTTCGATTTTTTTTTTTTGGAAAGGGGGGGGGGGGGGTTAAAAAGAACCTTGACAAGAATAACATATTAGGAATCATTAGGTTCAATATAAAAAATACTGGCATTATTGGTTTCATGCAAATAAAAAAGCTCTGCCTTTTTTTTTTTTTTTTTTTTTTTTAACGGTTGATTTGTGCTGCGGGAACACTCGGTCTGCCATGGAGTCCCGTTCTCACATCATTTGTTATCTGGAGTCCCTTGACAGACACCCAGGAGCTGGGACTCCTGGCGTCTGTTAGGTGACTCCAGAGATGAAATGACTGATATGGGAGGAAAAAGCCAAATGGACGCGCCAAGAAGACATATTAAGGCATGGGACGTTTTTTTTGTTTTTTTTTTTATAAGCCATATTAGAGCTGGGCAATTGATCGATTATCCTACCGATTAATGCTTTAATTGCTATTATTTTTTTAACCGGTTAATCGGTAAAATTTTGACGAATCAAAATAAAATAAAAATTAAGTGCTTTCACCAAGCAGAAATGGACGAGCACACCTATAGGAAAAATTTTAGGTGAAATTTTAACCTATAGTAAAACTGTTCAAGGCAAACTTTGTAACCCCAGACGAGTGCGGAAGGTTTCACGTGTCCCCAGCCACCTCAACGACGTGCGAGTGTCCGTTCAGAGCAGCAAAGACTGCTGGGAGCAATCAAAGGAGGCCGCTCTTGCCGGAGAATATCAACAAACCTCTTTGCCTTATGCGGCTGAAGTAAGAATTTGGGAGTATGAGTGTCTCTTAACTGTTATCAACTACGTATTAAAATTGATTCATAATTACAATGATTGGGCCGTTTTACATGCACATATTCAGAAAAAAAAGATAGGTGTCATTTTGACTTTAAAAAAAATATGCATGGAAATTAACGAAATCGATTAACCAATTAATTAATTAATCGATTAAAGGGTGGCGATTCATCGGGTTAATATTTTTAATGGACGCCCAGCCCTACACCATA